TATATATATATATATATATATATATATATATATATATATACCTTACCTACTGATTTTGAATCACAGGAATGATTCATAAATGGAGTGGTTCTGCAAGAGACGTCCAAGTCGATTTACCCGGTGTTGCAAATGAAGTTATTGCGAAGAAAATACACTTCCTGGGTACACGTAGATGAGTGAAAAGACAAAAGACTACCGGATACGAATAACTGTGGAGCGACAAGAACCGCGAAACCGGTCGTGTCCTTCCACGGAAATTTTGCCCAGTTATTCGTATACTACTTATTAAGATATAAACATATATTGCTATGGAGTAATACCAAATTTATTCCCGTGACTGAGTCTCAAAACGCTCAGTAGTGAGAGCACGAGATCTGATGAAGATCACGGTATCGCACCACTTCGGTCAATATCCGTATATTTGCCATCATGAGGGTTGGAGCTGGTCTTTCGCGAGGAAAGCACAGCCATATATGCACCACATAGTGGGAAATTATTTGTCCACTACGAACGTGTTGTAGGTGCAAAGATGAGTAGATTACAACACATTTGGAGTAGTACCTGTCGTCTACTGGGACGAGAACGGAGATGTCAGCAAACGCCACCTTCACGGAACAATGCGATCCTCGTTGTCCTGAAACAAACAACAAATGGGCACACAGTAATACTACAGACAAGACAATATTGACAAGTGAACAGTTATTTTCCAATATTGTCTGTGTAGAAAGTGCGCCATTAAAAATTGAGAAATATTCACAAAATTGTGGATTCCATAGGATCGAGTAAATTACCTATAACTCCTGACGATCCAACAACAGGTTGACTAGCCGGTGGTGGTGGCAGTGATACATCAACAGTTGGTGTCGTCGGTATTACGACTCTGGATACTGCCTGAGAGGCGCGTGCCGGTTCGCGAAGCGCGGGTTGGGTATCTCTCTGTTCTAGCGTTGGATTCTGGAGGACAGTGGATGCGGGCTTTGTGTTGGCAGGGAGTTTTGATCGACTAGGGACCGGATTTGGTTGCTTGGGTTGTGTTGGTTTTACAGAAGAAGTCGGCTTTGAGGAGGAAATCTGAGTTGATGACAGAAACTCGGATGGATGAAACTCATTCATTGTCGAATTTACAAGATTGCTGATGTCTTGCAACTTTTCGGAGAAGCGTTGAGCTGAAAAAAAATAAAGAATAGGTAGGTTCAGAAAACAAAATGGGATGAGCTAAAACAAACGATTAGCCATCCAATGAAATCACTTAGTAGGATCAATCTATCTTACAGATTCGTGCGACTTCCTAATATATCTTCATATATTTTATGATTCATCTGACGCAGGAGTTCATGTCACCAGTGACATCAGTTAGTCTTTTCCCATTGTGACTGGTGAAGGATGTGTCATTGGTTGGAAACACTAGGGGACATTGCTCACGTTTGAAACCATTGGTGTGAATGCTGCAGTGCTTACTGTGAACATCTGTGACTCACCTTGCCAAAATAACAGACCACACAAAAGTAACATTAAAAAAATATATCATGTGAAACAGTAATGAAAAACGCATGTACATTCATCCTCATTCATTCATTCTCATTCTGATTCTTCTTACATATTGATATTTTGTGTTGGATTGTGTGCATATTAGTCTGATCAATCTCTGTTCACCATTATAATAGAAATGGACCACTGAGTGTACCACTCTGAGGATATATTTTGTGTATGCACCCAGCAATGAAAGTATTCCCCGACCCAGCCAGCCCGCACACACCTAGATTTTGGGGTTACCTCCACTGCTACAAGCATGATCACCATCATCTTTGGGAAACCAGATGGCAACCAAATGGGAAACCGAAACATGATGCGAAATTTTGAACAGAGTATTAAAGTGGCTACCGGGGATGCATTATTTTAGTCGTGGTGGAAATTTTGTTCGTCTTTCGATATCTTTTGGTCAAAATCAAAGATATTTAGAGTATCAAGCTTGGATTAGCTCATTCGATTGTTCAGAGGCACCAGGCACTCGTGATGGTCTCGGGTGTGAGTTTCACTTCATGGGAGATCGTTGAATCCCCACGAGGCAATTCATTCAAATGCGATTGGCAATTTGTTTGCAAACGTTTCATCACCAGCCGAGGTGACATTATCAGTGCTTGTGAAGTGGCAGTGTTCTTCTAATACCCGTTCGTTTATATGTGTTCTTCTTCACCGATTATTTTCGTCCCCTGTTCTCAATGTGTTCGACTCGGTTCACCGTTGAACTAGTGCGAGGGGGTGAGGGTGGCAGGGGAGGAGGTTGTCCTTTCGTCCTAA